AAAAAGAAAAATGGGAAAAAGGGGAAAAAAGAACAAAAAAGAAAAAAAGACTTGTTCATGGACACCATATGTCTAAAAAACATGCAATGCCCATTGCCTCTCTGCTTTAAAACTGTTCATCCAGTTTAACCCAGAAGGGTCCCCACGCATCATTTGAAACAACTCATATGAGTCTTCACAGTAGATAATTCTTGTCTTTTAAAGAGGGAAGTAAATTAAACTCTGAACCCTAATCACGTTATTAGCCCTGCCTGACACCATAAATCACCGATGTAGCATTTTGTTCGTGCCCATAAATTACTGACACTGTGTCCTCCTGCAGAAGATTCCTTCTCCTTAAAAGCATATTAATACATTTGCACCCCCTCTCCTTTTTAAACACACTGGCTCACACTGCCAGCTTTCCTAGTGCTCTAGGCACTGATTTCAGGTTTCATAATCAATTATATCATTTTGCTTCGCAGCTGTAATTTGATTACTGCTTTTGGGTGTGACAGGCATTTGTGGCCATTTCTGCCCGTCTTCATCTGAAATTGCTAATCTTCCTTCCTTCCCTCCTCCCTGCAAAACCTGTGCAAAATTGATAAAATAACATCAATAAATCAAGGCACTTGCATTTTCCCTGAAGTGCCTGTATTTCAGATTTCTTCTCTGAAACACAAACAAGGACATAGTTCATCTAGCTCAACAGCATGACCAAAAGCGGTATAAAATGATGATGATGTTTTGTGGCAGTTATTGCCAGTTTTGTTAATATGACTGACTGCTTTTCCTGTGCAAGCTGTCTCTTCTAGATTACCTTATCTTTGAAATAATCACCACTACCACCTAACATTTAGTAATAATTTACTCCACAGCAATTGCTATGACAGAGCCCACATCAGCAGAAACAAAACTGCAACATTCAAGGAAAAGAAAAAATAATTCACATTTGTTTCTGTCAAGTTCAGAATCCCTGTTGACCAACCTGTACACTGTGCTCTTGAAATATAGTACATTTAGAACTGTTCATATGCAGCATCAAAGGAATGAAGTTCAAACAAAAGTTGCCACTTTCTTCCCACTAATTTAAGAAGTTTTAATGAGAGTGAGAAAAGAAAGGAAGCAATCTGTGTATTAACGGGCTGCAGAACGATGCACACCCATCCCTGAATCTGGCTGATTTCATCAACCACACTGTTTCTTAAGGACACTTAAATCCACTTACATTTCCACAAACATCTGGAGAGGCTCTAAGTGGAACGTGGCTGATAGTATCTACTGAGTTTTCTTTCAGGGCAATTGGGTTTTTTTCAAGGTTAAGCCACTGATTACTTTCTTCCTCAAGCCCCCATTAACACAAAGTCTTCCAGAGGCTGGTTGGGGATCATACACACATTCTCTTAGCCAGGGTCGAGTACAACAGATTTTTTATTTTCTCCCTCACCCATAATTTTGGGGACAATAAAATACTGCATTTCTGATACACATATTTAGACCATGGAAGCCTAGAGTAAGTGGCTTAATTCAAAAGTAGTATTTCCATTACGTAGACAATTCAATATTTTTTTCTCCTAAATGCTTTTTAAAAGATACTTAAAAGTAACTTGTGATCCCAGATTCCATAAAATATTCTGTTCTCCCTTGAACTATCTCAGAGTAATTAATTTTTTTTCTCTTGGAAAACCACACAGACATAAGAATTTTCATTGAACTTTTATATGGAAACGTGATTCAATGTGCTAATTTACAACTGCACAACAGAAAGTCCATACCTGAGACAAAAGTAAATGGAGAAGAATGAATGAATTTTCAGGCTTAAGTCAGCTGTTAAAATAGGGCAAAAACAACTGTCCAAACAGTCATATTTAATCTGTATGAATTATTTAAAAACATGTCAAGAGCTTGTTCAGTAGAAGGAACCATTACCATGAGAAACTCCCATAAGTCAGATGCATTTTTTTATGCAGAAGAGTTGTTAATCTTTTCCAGGAGTTAAAGCCCAAAAGCTCACACAGGCACTTTGAAAAGGGTAAAGCAGCAGAACATAACTGAACAAAAAAATTTCTTTGAAAAGAGCAATTCCTGGAATGAAGAATTCCCTAGTCCGTTTTATTAATTCTTTCTCCTTGACATTCATATTTCTGTCATAAAGTATCTGCAATTTTCTTTTCCCACAAAATGAAATCTGTGCTACTAGACAAGCACAGTTTTTAATTCATATTCACTGTGAATTACTGAAACATCCATGTAACTTTTTTTTTCCCCTTGCAGGTTATTTTCACAGAAATTCCTTTTAACCAAGTTAGAAACAAGTTCTTTTATGATGCCACAGCAGCAATTTGTTTTGCTCTTCTAGGTTCCATTTACTGAGCTAATAAAGACATTCATAAATTAAACACTAAAAGTGATTTTAAAGTTAAAATTAGCATTCTGACTTCAAGCTAACATGAAGCTAACATGTTGCTGCTGCTCCCAGATGGATATTCATGGCTGAAAAAAATAGCAGATCTGACCTATGTCACAAAGCTGCTTTGAGAAAGTTTAGCAGAAGAGTCACTTCACATTTTGCTGCTCTCAAATAACATCTCCTTGTTCATGGTTCTTTTCACACTGAAAAGATTTTACCATTTGTCTTAAGGCCGTGTAAAGAATTTAAAAAAATAAAAAAAAAAATCTCAAAGAGTGTTTGAATAGATAGACACCATTGTAAAAAATCTATATCCACACATCCCTATTTGCCAACGTTACAGTTTGTGGAACAGAGAACAATTCAGTATTTCAAAGGAAGCCAATAACCATCACAAGAGCACCCATGGGTGACGTTACTTAATCTGCAGTTTCATCTTCCAGAGGAAAAGGGAAACTACAAGAAAAAAACTATTTCCATAAACAAGGGACTTAAAAGGCAAAGAGAAAAAAAGCATTTTGGGTAAGTGTGAAAATTCAGGCAGTTCTGTCTTACAACCCTGATCATCCCCTTGCTCCCCTCAAAGCTGAGGAATACTTGAAAAGCAAAGGAAGCTGGAGACTTTGGAAAATTCAGATCTTGGAGAGCAGGATATCAAAAGGGACCAATGCAAAGAAGGAACTTGGTTTCTGCATCAGGCTCCCTGCCGCTCCATCAAAGCAGCAGCAAATAACACAATTACATCTTCCAGAGCGTGTGCCCCACAACACACCTGACTTGAGTGACTCCATCGCTGCAAGGAATGTTAGAGCAGTTTGTTACTCCTCATCCTCCTCTTTCATCATTTTAAAGCTTTGAGCAGTAGCAGGCTGCTGAAGAGAGCTACCAACACCAACAGGGAGAGAGGATCTGCTACAGCTGATACACGGCACACAAAGCGTGCAACGGATTTCCAGGGGAGGGGAAGCGGAAGGAATTGCAGGTACTTCATCCTACAAGGATCAACAAATCCCACAGACAGACTGCAATTACATGAAATTGTTTTGCAAAGGGAAATATGAGAGGAACAGAAGTTGCCTGCGATTTTATGGTTCTCATTGAAATGCGACCTACATTTTCGGGAGACCGAGGAGAAAGGACATTATTTATGTCGATTTGGAGGACAGAGGGAAAGCAAGAAGGGAAAGGGAGCAGGATTCTCTTCTGTCACTTTCAAGACCAGACAAGTGACTTAGCTAAATAAAGGTCTTCACAAGTATACAGATAATAATTTAAAACTTTATAAGCAAAATATGCGTTCCACTGGCAAACCTGTAAAACTTGTCTGGAGATTACAGGCCATGCTCTAACCACACTGGCTCCTCCCAGCTGACCCATAAAAGCAAGAGCAATGACTGAGAGATGCAATAAAAGTTTCTGACGTGCTTTTTGGGGAACAAGCCACTGATTTGTATTTGGAAGCCATTCCAAACTCTGCAGAGAGTCCTGTAGAATAAACAGCCTTTTGCTCAGCTGCCAACATACCAGCCCGAAAGCTCGACGAGGAGACTTCAGACAGAAACAAAAAGACTCTGTGTTTCTACCTACTACAGCTTGCACTAAATTCCCCTCTTCTGACACAGAGGATCTCGGTGCCAGGCAGCAACAATGAATTCACAAGGGCAAAGGCTCACATCTGCTGCTCGGCTTTGAAATCCTTCCTCGCTTTTACAAACTTAACTGAAAAGGAAGCCAGAGCCCAGTGCCACGTGGAGGACCCCACTGACAGCACTGTGGCCACACAGCACAAGCCTGGAGACCTTTATCTCTCAGCAGCTCTAGGTTTTGAAGCATTATTTGCCATACATGGTTACATGGTTGATTCAAGACCTGAGTCTCCAGGAATCTCTCTTCTTGGTGCACAGCTGGTGGGATAAGAAGGTTCAAGGTGCCTCCAAATGTTAATCAGGAAAGTAGGAAGATGGGTCCTTCCACAATCCACAGACACAGAATCAAATGAACCATAGAATGGTTTGGGTCTGCACGGACCATGAAGATCATCTGGTTAAAAACCACCTGCTGTGGACAGAGACACCTTTCACTGGACCAGGCTGCTCAGAGCTCCATCCAGCTTGGCCTTGGACAACATGCTGATCTTCTTATTGGAAAGAAGATTAAAGACAAAACTGCTGCCTGAGTAAGTCTGTCCAGACATTTCTGGTAGGAACGTGTTTCAGCCTTGGTTATTGCTGCACCAAACCAAGCACCAGCCTTTACAGCTGGGAACTCATCCTTCTCCAGAGACTGTTTAGGAGCTCCCTCTGAAATTTAACCATCAATTTTAAGGTCTCCCCTCTGCACCCAGAATTCAGGACCAGAAAAGCTGAGTTAGCCAATAAAACACTGTCTGTGAGCAAACACAACAGCCTTTCAGCTGTGACAGAAAACCAGAGACAGGGTAATTCTTGTCTTTATTCACACATCCTAGACTAACTGCAGCGATTTCAAACACTTGCCTGCTTTCCTCTGCAATGCATACCATATCATTACCCCCCCGAGAGGCCACTTTACACTTTGCTCTCCTGCCTCCTCACTCCTGCTCTGTTGTATAAAGTTATATGGAAAATAATACCTAAGTGGCTCCGCATCCTGCAGGGAAGTTGCTTAAAACATCACTCAGTTTTTCTGAAAATTTTCATGCCACTGCAAACAAACAAACAAAAAAAAAGTCAGTCATTATACCTCAAACTCAACAGGTTTTTTTTGGCATGAAAACCACAAATTAGGTAGAAAAATATTTATTTATTCAAACACATGGGTTTGCTTTCCACCAAAACACTTCTGACAGTCGCAAAGATGACAGTAACCTGTGATACCTGCTCTGCACCACCCTTGTGGCTGTCTTGTTATTTCAGAAGACCCAAAAGGTACCCTCTGAAAAATCAAATCACTCTGTCCTAATTAGAATCTTCTGAAAGCAAACTTCAATTGGGATGTACATTTCCCAGACATTAAATACTAACTCAGAAAGCAGGAAGCCCTTCTCACTATGTCCTTCAGATGGGAGGTTGCAGGCTTAAAAACACCAGCTTTAAAACTCAAGCTGAAAACTCTGCTGCTTAATAATGAAACACAGCAGTTGCATTTGAGATGTTAGAGTTCCTCTAATAATAAATAAAACTCTGACTGCAGCAAGACAGGTTTTGTGAAGCTTGCTCACAGTCACCAAGTTTTACAGAACAGGAATTTGCCCTCTTGATGCAATCATGGAGGTGATAAACACTTTTTCCTCACCCAGCTGCTATTACAGGAAGGGAGTATAACTGCATTAAAGGCACCACACTCCATTTCCAGGCACGACACTGTCTTCTAGTCTGGTGATCAAACACAGTTTGTGAGCAATCAGGCCAAAATACCTCCAGTACCACATGTCCCCCATGCTCATTTCTGTTGCTACAGGAATATTAACTGAGCTGATTTAGCTTTTCTGCAGCAAACTCTCAGCACTCAAAACCACCTCACAGTCAAGGTCATTCCAAATAATGCAAGTGTCACTGTTGGACAAGCAGAAATGTATGGAGAGGAAATGAGCCCTACAGAGCCTGTTATTCCTCTCTGATCATCTAATGCTGTGCATAATGTTAATCTAACCATTTTTATGGATGTGGAATAGTCTAATGTCCATTCTTCCTGGGCAAGGCAGGGACTACCAGCAGCCAAAACATAAATTTAAGGACTATTAATAACCTCACTTCCAAAGGGAGTTAGTATTTTCATTTCTAGTGAAAATTCAGTTGCTTTGTACACTTTTCTGCAAAAACAGAACTTGCCTGGGAGGCTAGGAATTAGATACAACTCCATTTGAGCTTCTAAATTACTGGTGCAAACTTATCAGGGCAGGTATCCAGTGATTCAGGATTAACAATCTTACATTATTTTTGCCTGCATGCTTCCAAAAGCCAAAACACACTTTGGGATTTTCTGGCAGCATGTGTGGTTTAGGCAGCAAAAGCGCCATGCCCAGAAACAAACACCACCAGCAGTTAAATCACATAAGTGCTTCCTGGAAAACACTTGAACTCCCAATTTTTACCTACTTAGAGGTTTGTCACTTTCCTTTAAGTGTCACAATAAAAGTACTGGTTCATCTCACAAGGACAATTTATTTTTTACCCTCTTATACAAGTACATAATAAGGCAATGCTAACATGTATTGTTATTTAACTAAACATAATCTATTAGCAACAAAACTTAAGACCTCTTTGGAACAATTTCTGTTGCTTCTAGCAGAGTGCAGCTGAAGTAAGCCAAATTACTGCTACTTTCTGATATGGTGTAAATTGGCATAATTCTACTGAGGTCCTGTTGATCTACACCAGTAAGTTTCATGGCTGGCTGAGCCAATAATTTCAAGTTTTCAAAAATATATTTGACATACCTCACCTGAATAACATCTGAAGCCAAATATTGTCATTTGAGTAGCATATCCCCCTCCCAATCCCCCCTCCCTGCCTACCAGACAAGGCCAGCACTAGAGAGTTCCCTACAGACACCTAAGCCATGTTTCACAGGAAGCAATGAGTACTTAATTAAGGGCTTTAATCACTTAAAATATGCTAGTGGAAGTTGAAAAGGAGGACACCGTTGAAGTTCCTCTCTTAAATGTAATTAACCTGCAATGTTCTACTTTTGACTAGAACAATTGCAAAGGTAGGACTTGAATTGTCATCTCAAGTCTGCTTCTGGTCCTGATGCCTCAGAGCATTCCAGCTGAATTACTGTTGTTTACTCTTTAACTTTTAACTGAAAGGTATGGCCCTGAAATATAATCAATGCTCACTTTTGAAACCCTACAGTTTTAATTACCATTTCCAGACACCCTCTATCACATGTTTTATGTACAATCAATGCTGACACATAAAAGGAAAGCACTCTCACATTTTGCAATACAACAAGTTTGTTCTTTGAGAAGAAAACAATCAATTACTGATCATCTAACTACCTCTGTGTGCATATCTATCGCTCTTCTGTTATTGCAGATTAGACATTATTATGTCCCAAGAAAGCAAAAATGCTATAAAATTCTACTTCTGATTTGTTTAGTATAAGAATTTATTTATGTTCTTACTTCTGGTGATAGGATTTATTTTTTTTTAAACCTACACAAAGCATTGTTTCCTGTATATGGGAATAATTAAATCTTGAAACACAAACATTTGATCAATGTGTTTTGACACTGCTTCCTTCTAAATCATTTTTAATACACTGAGATCTGAATGCATGTTGAGACATCAAGATACCATTGTATGAGAGTTGTAATGTACTGAAAGAAAGCTCTTCATATGCATACTCTTGTTTTAATATGTTGCAACAGGCCATGCTTGTCATTCCCAGATTTTGGGCTTGAGCATTTCTTTTTGTTTTGTCAGGGGTGGGTGTAATCTTTTCAAAGATGCATTAGAAAGTGTCAATAAGAAAATTACTGCCTTTAAACATACAAGGACAATGCTCTCCTTATTAGCACACATATAAATAAGAGGCGTAAAAAGCCTTTTGACAGACTCTTAGAGGGAAGATGTGCCAGAACGTCCACGTCCCTTAGTTCATAAGGAATAGTTGATAAACCACTAAAAATAATAGTAATTTTAAAAAAGCCTTAAATTTCTGTTCAAAATCATTAATTGAGGTCGGCAAGGTAGGTGTACTTTTAAGTAAGTTGGTGTATCAGGTATATTGAGCTCAGAAAACCTGCTGAAATCAACAGCATTTACACTGGCCACTCAAAGGTTATGAGCTCATAGGTGTATATCTGGGGCTAGAAACTTGAACATAGTAAGAAAAAGCTCAGTTTCTTCTTACTCCTCCTTCAAAGGACCTAAAAATGCACATCACATGCACACAAGTCTCTGACAGCATGATAAAGAACAGCAACCTCGAAGGTATGTGCAAACCAGAGACTTGCACAAATGGGGGCAGCTAAACTTAGAAGGGATGTGTAAGTATATACATCCTATAGAACACTAAATTGAGCACAAAGGTTGTATAAATCTTATTACTTCAAAAAATCAGGTCACAAATGTCAGTTTTTTCTCGGAAACAGGGACTGCAGCACAGAATTAGCTGATAGGCAACTCGGGGTTACAAAAGATGGGTGAGAGAGGTCTGCTTATGCTAAAATCTTTTGAGTCAGCTTGCTCAAACAAAAGACTTTTCTACAGTCAATGAACTTTCAGGAATCCAAGTGAAGCCACCAATATCCCCACAGCTAATCAGTTTAGTAATTTAGGAACTTCTCTCTGAATGCCAACAAGGCAGACAAAAGTCATCTTGCTTCTCCTACTGAAGTTATTCACCCCATACCTTGAGCTTTTACTGAACTCATTTATTTGTTCATCTCAAAGAAAAACTGTTATTACATGCAGGTCTGAAGGAACATGGTAACCACAAACAAACAAACCTGGCTTGGTTGTGCAGTAATATTCCACTCTTTACCTTCTCCTCTTGCTACAGCAGTGAACCTTGCATGTTAATTCCTAGAATCCTCCTTATTTAATAAATGCATTAAAGTTTATTGATTTTTAGTGACTATGAAAGGTCAAGTCCAAACAAAGCAGGAACATTTTCTAATGCACAGGGCTGTAAAGAGGAAAAAGATTCATAATGAGAGCAAGTGGCTACTGTGCAGATTGAAGAGAAACTTCAGCCAGTCAAGTTCATCTCTAGTTGCATGGATGTAAGCAGATAATAATTCCATTTGGGCTAAAACTTTAAGCAATACTCCCTGTGGTCTTATCCTTATATTATATTTATATTTATAAATTTATATTTGCATGCCCTTGAGAAAAATTTTAATCTCAAAATCTCAGACATTATTAGTATTTGTTTAGAGGCCAGAAGAAGCTTCTCTAATCTTTTACTGGGGCCTCCTGTTCTATACAGACTAAAAGATGGCAGCCAAAAACTTCACCAATCATCTCACAGGGGAAGGAGGAGAGTCGATGTTCTTCCACATACTCAGGGTATTCCAGGTCAAAACAGGCAGGTAAATGAGAAGCAAGCATATTCTTCATTTTTAATATCTGTGATATGAGATCTCTCATGCAAAGTAAATTACTGAACAGTCACATTTTCTTTTTCCAAACTTTCTCATTCTACCCAAACCTATGCACAATGAAAAATGATGCTGTGATTAGAGGCATGCTTAATTACTTTTCAAGCAATAAAAGTTTATGAACCCAAATTTTATCCTAGCCTGTGTATTGTCTTATTTATTTTTATATTGTCATAAATATGCAAACCCATTAAGATGATTATTAATTGCAGCAGAATACAATTAGGTGGCTTTCCACAACAGGAGCCTTTGCAACTGTAATGTGTATTCACTGCTTTTACAGCATCTGCCTTCAATTATTTAGCTTTTCGAGGATCTCTGTTACCATGATATAATGAATGTTCTACTTAAATAGCATCACTGCCTAAAAGTAAGAACACTGATCTATTACTACATTAAGCTCAGCCATGTAGTGAGTTGTGTCATGTTATAAAACCTTCTCAAAATTGATTACCTGTAGAACCTCACAATCTTAGCAAGTCACACACTTTTTGGACACAAATTATCATCTTTCCCTTCCCTCAAATTATTCTTCTCTACTCTTTTCATAGAGTTTCCACCACTGCTACTTAATTTCCAAATTAATATATTT